AGGTTTGTCATCGGGCTGGTCGTCGATCGTGCTATGATGCGGATGAGGCCGTCGATTCCGTCTGTGCGCGTGCCCTGCTGCGCACTCGCCTGCGCGGCTGGGATTGTGATTGGCCGCGTCATCGATGAATGCTGTACAGACTTGGATGAGTCGAATTGCCGCCGACCACCGGCTGTTGTACTCTGGACGACGTCGAAGATGCACGCTCAGATCGTCTGTCGAGGCGGGAATACCTCACTGCTACGCTGTTGAACATGGTGCGCGAGTTCCGTGACCATGCTGATGACTACATTGTGTCTCCGAATACCGCCGCGGCCGTACTCATCCAAAACTATGTATCGCATGCACACGTGACAAGATCATTCAGTCAGTTGATGGCCCGCTGCTCGATGCTCGGGAGCACCATCTATGTGGCTACCGGGCCACTAGCGCCGTGTGAACGCGAGGAACGCACAGCCGTTCTCAAACAAGGGCATAGACCCCACAGCGGCAGGACCAGTTCCTCGTCCTCTTGTCGGCCATGACGCGCAGGCACATATTGTCCGCACGCTGCTGCCGTTGGGTCTCCTCAGTCAACGGCTGAATTCCTGCCATTGGCCTTGACCGCGGGTTAATCACCGCCCGACAAGCCGAAGCCAGACGACATCTGCTTTAAATCCCGCTGGTGGGTACTTATGACTGGAGTTCTGCGGCAGCAGGCAGCCGAGGATTCCGGGGGAGATTGTCGAGCTCGATGACCAGTGCTCGGAACTCATCAGTGGGGTCGAGTACTTTATGTGGGCCAGCGCGCTGGCTTGGATTGCCATTAGTGCCTCGGGAGAGCCACGCTACGTCGTTCTGTCCGAGTGGGTGATTCCAACTCGATGTTGTAGTGGGCCTCCGAGAGCGCCTCTTTACGCGGAGGATAGGTGGGTTTCGGCGGTTACTCCGGAGTGTGCGAGTACCTGTCGAAGGGACCCAGGTTTCGGTCAAGATACGCTACCACGTCTTTATGAGGCCCCCGGGTACGCGTTTCATCCGGGCCTCAACGGACGCCCTCGTGCTGTTTATTAAGAGTCCTGCCACAGCGTGACGCCTCGGGGGCCATTGGTCGCTGTGTTCTACGATGGCGATGCACTGCTAGGCGGCGTGAAACCATAAAGAGCAGGCATGACGAAACGCGCCGGACTGCGTGCTAGTGCATACTTGGATCGCCCAACTGAATGGGAGTTCGCTAGGCGATGGAAGTTGCCCACGATCTTGAGGGCCTTCGACTCCGTCCCCCCGGCAATCCGCGGAATATGCCCTTCACTGGCCACTATTAACGCCGCGACCTGTCACTTGAACTGGAACTGATGCAGCTGCGCAGTGAGTGCCCATTGCTCGGAATTGAGCGAACCTGCCGAGGTCGGGAGGACCTCTGCGGGGGCCAGGGGCGCGTTGATACGGCCTGCTCACAGACGTTCATTATTGCTCGACCTGACCTTGCACTGGCGCCTGAGGAATATGAGCTTGCCAAATCCTCGACGAACTTCAAGCTGATCCCTTTTAATCAAGCCTACTCGCCGCCGCAGCTGGGCCGTTTCAGCGAGCAGTTATGAAGGAAACATGCTCTGAGCTATGGGGCCCAGTGGTCACAATGTACGCCCTAGACGAGAATCTGAGGTACCGAGCATTTGGCTTTCTGAAGCGTGAGGCGTCATGGCCATCCTGCTGACAGTCGACCAGCTCAGTTGCGGTGCACACCGCCCACCTATTGATGGACTACATCCGCGTATGAGAGACGTGCCAGGTGAGACTCATACGATATACTGCAGTACACGACGACAGCCGCCAGTGTCGTACAAGCATCGCGCGCCAGATCCTCCAACGTTGCAGAAGAGTGTAGCGCGTAGACGTCCACCATGATGGGCGAATTGACTCTGCCCGTTTTCCGGGTTACGGCTCGCCCAGACAACAAGGTTACGCGACTAGGACGTGCACCTAGAACACGCCTGACAGGATGATACTCATGGCCCCTGAACTGACATTCAGCTCCGGCGATCTTTCTGTCTCCTACGAGTGGCCGCAGCTCACCGTGAACCTTGCCTGGCAGCAGACGCCCGAGGAGCACACCATCTGAGTCGGACTGGCAATGGGCGAACGAGCATGGCGCATGTTGGCACTGGGAGCGCGCGAGGGACTACGAATCATCGCCACCAATTGCTTCCGCTAAGCCGCGCCGGCGATGTATTGATATGATCGTTGCGCAGCAAGGGAAAGAGCAGCCAGTAGGAAGAGGGAAGTTAGGAGTGTTCGGTCGAGGTGCTGAGACGTGATCAGCGCTCCCCGCCCAGACGGAAGAGGGAGAAATGTACGGCGGCGTGCAGATGGAAGCGATTGGTTGCCGGTCAGCGGCTACTGAACGCGTGGCCGCGGGATGAGCGAGGAAGTTCCTCCTGACCAATCGCACTAGCTCGCTGACGGGGACGGTCTCAGAGCGTACCGAGTGGTCGAATAGGACCTTGTATGCCTATAAACTGACTCGCGGAACGGCAGCCTCGATCAATTAATCACATCCCATGCAGTCTGATTCTAGATCGCATGGAGGGCAAGCCAGTGTAGTTATCGACCTCGTCGGCCATTTCTCTCCTAGGCGCTTCTCAACTGACGCATATATGAACAGCATGTGCTAGCCAGCAGCTATTGCCACGACGACACAGACAAGCAGCGTAGGCAAGCAGGGCGATAACGAGGCAGCAGCTCTTTCGCCGAGCCGTGTCGAGACAACTTTAAGGGAGATTCGCGACAACCTCTGAAGAAGCCAAGATGTATAACTCTGTGTCATAGGGATGGGGCTGACTCCTGTTCCAGGACCGGTACGACGTATTGATCTGACGCGGCCAGGTATCCCGCGCCGAAGCCGTTGTGTCAATATTCACCACCGCCATCGGAGCGCAGCTGATGTGCATCGAGAGCCAACGCAGCTAGCAAGGCAGCCTAAGCCCTCAAATACGCGCGCGTAGCCCGCGCTGTGGCGCACGGCGATGACGGGTCGCGTGAAACCAGGCCGCTTACCACCGATGGCAGCGCAGCATCCTACCGGGCTCGACTCACGATGATGGTCCGCGCCTTCCGATTTCCGGCAGTTTGGCGAGCAGGCGATGATCGATGGCGCGACAGCTACTCGGTACGATAAGCGAGGCGTCGGGCCATCAACTAGGCGTCAGGTCAGTTTAGTGACTATCCAGTGAGCACAGGCATGGTCTTTTATGCGCGTGTGCCGCGCCGTTATTATAGAGGTACAGGGTATATTTCGACGTCTCTTGTCGCTGATGTCTCGGCATATGACGAGTACGCACGCGCCAGTTCATTTGCAAACTCGAGGGAACTTCGGGGATCACATTGCAACACGCGGCATGCGCGTCCTGATCGCGGTCTTGCGTGACCGCGACGGTATGGCCGCCGCCCGCCACCATGCGACACATGCCCGCCACCTGCCCCGGAGTCTTGCCCTGCCCAATACCACATCCGGCGACCCGGTGCGGAGAGGTCGATGGTGATCAATGCGGGCGTAGCAAGGTCCTGCGTGTAGGCAGGTCCCGCAGTTGAGCCAGAGCATGCTCGACGGATACATCGCCGTCGCGGATCTGATCCAGGAGTCGCCGGAGATCGCTGTCCCTCGTATTGAGACTACCTGACATATTTCAGGCCAGGAGCTGTCTGCGGGGCAGTCTCGGAAACCCGCTGGTGACTTCCTGGAACGAAGGCCCGTCCTCTATGTGCGATTCGCGACAGTCGTCCGGCTCGGAGCAGCCCCAACCGGGGTGCCGTCCACGATTTGACCTTTACGCTTACAGCGCCGAACTCGGTGTCTACCAAAACCTGTTACGGTGGGCCACGTATCGGTCCACCTGCGGGAGCGGATGCCTAGAGTTGGTGTCTCTTTCAGTATCATATCCACCGCCGCTGCTCCCAGTGCGGAGGCACCAGCACAGAAGCACCGTCACTTGGCCGGTTCTTTTTCATCTCACTGGAGTGTGCCGACGTCCTCCAGCGCCCCAGAGACTTCGCAGAACGCATCGCTCTCTTTGGCTGCTACCCCAGTACCAGTCCCGGCAGCGTCGTGTCCAGGTTGGTCTCCAACACACACTTGCTCTGCCCGTTGTTTAAACTATGTCGTCCACACCTGCTTCTGTATTCCTGTGTTGCGTTCTGCTTTTGTCCTCAACCTGTTCGCTCCCCGAGCCATAATCTTAGAGCGTTGGATCCCGCCGGGTCCACTTGGTTCCCAGTCGCGACCTCCCACCTGCTTAACGGAAAGAGCCGGTGGGCCGCCAGCGGAGATTCGGCCATGCGTAAGCGATCAGAGCGGCACCGGTCGGAGTGGCTGAGCTCCACACTCCGTGCGTGAACCGGGTATATCGTCGCCACCGGTGCCCGCGAGTCTGTACGATCAACATCCATCTGGTGGCTGTGTCGGTGTTTATGGCTTAATCTCGGCCATCGGGTGCTACGTCCGTCACTCGCACACGGCGTCGCGTGTCGTTCCTACTGCCGTCGATTCCCGAGATCCGGTATCGCCGATGCAGAACCCTACCACGTCCACCAGCGTATCCACGCTCCCCAGCTCTTCCAGCTCCAACTCTCCCTCGGGCTGGCCATGAACCCTCGCCTCAGCCTGCCACAGCGCGCGCAGTACCACTGCGGCCTTATTTTTCACGGCAGGGTCGATACTGCTTTTTTCGACGGCCTGTAGAAGCGCGGCGGGGGAGTGACGAGTGCGTTCCTCGAGATGCACTTTCAGGTGCGTGCCGCGGACCTCACATCGGGTTTCCTCGGAGGCCTCTATCCTGTAGCCGGAAATGGGAAGCTTGGCCAGTTCTGCCTGAAGTGTCGGCAGTGGAAATCCAGCGTCAACCAAGGCTCCCAGCAGCATGTCGCCGCTGGCTCCACCGATGGACTGGATGTAGGCGATTTTCATAGAGCACCAGCCGCGGGGATTGAGAGCGGGGTGGTCATCACCCTCCTCGTCGAATGAGCTAGACCGAGGGAGTCCCCTTGCCTTGTGGTTTCAGGACCTCATTCAGGCTGCCTGAACGGAGGCCGGTCAGGTCAAGTGAAACCCACAGGTAGCCCACTTTTTTCAATCCTGCGACAATCTCTTCGCGGCGCCTGAATGCCAGATCCATATCGTCCTCGGACGCCTCAACCCGGCACAGCTTGTCGTGATGGCGCGCCCGGAACTCCCGCAACCCCAATCCTCTCAGAAAGTCCTCGGCGCGTTCGATCTTTGACAGCGTCTCGATCGTAACAGGCGTCCCGTACGGAACGCGCGACGAAAGGCATGGTTGGGCGGGTTTGTCCCACACGGGAATGTTGAGCCGCAGTGCGATGGCCCGCACCGTCGCCTTATCCAGCCCAGCCTCCAGCAGCGGGCTGCGTGCCCGGTGCTCCGCCGCGGCCTTCATCCCGGGCCGGTAGTCGCCTTGGTCATCGGTGTTCGCTCCGTTGGCCACCCAGGCGTAGTTCTCGGCCTCAGTCAGCGCGGTGAGGTGGGTATACAGCTCGGTCTTGCAGAAGTAGCAGCGTTGCGGTGAGTTCTGGGTGTAGCCTTCGCGTTCCATTTCGTTGGTGCGGATAACGCGGTGAGCAAATCCGAACTGCCGCGCCAGTTGTTCGGCTATTTCCAGTTCCCGGGCAGCCAGAGCAGGGGACACCGCCGTAACCGCCAGGGAGTTCGCGCCCAGCGTTTCGTGGGCTGCCACCGCTACTAGCGCACTATCCACCCCGCCGGAGAAAGCGGTCACCACCGACCCCATCTCTCGGAGAATGCGCCGCAGTTCCTCGATCTGTTTGTCCAACTGTTCAGTTCCCAAAGCGATATCCGTCAGGGGCTGAATCTTGTAGCTTCAACTGAGGAATGCTGCCACGGCGTTGGCGAATGCTTCGGGCTGCTCCAGCATCAGCAGGTGCCCGGCGTTGGCCACCGTCCCAGTTTGCGACCGGGTTATCATTTTCCGGAAATCGTCGACATAGGATGGGGGATTGATGCGGTCCTGCTCTCCCCAGAGGATGAGGGTTGAAGCCTTGATGCGGTATGCACGGCGGTTCAGTCCCTTGTCAGGGAGAGGCCACAGGAACTTGCCGGCGGCAGCGATGTCCTGCATGCGGTCCCTGTCCAACTCCGCAGCCACGCCATCCAGCGATGCGGCAACGCCTGGCGTTGCCGCCAGACGTTCTGAGAGTTCGTTGGCGTTCAGCGCAAGCAGGTCAGCCACTGGCTCTTCATCGCGCCACACTCCCGCTGGGGATACCAGCACCAGGCGGTCGATTGACGATGGAGAAAAAGCAGCCATCTCAGATGCGATCATCCCTCCCAGGAAATGCCCGACAACGTGAGCGCGTGTTACGCCCAGCTCATTCAACAATTCCAGGTGATACAGCGTCAGGTCGGTCAGGTCGGCCAAGTGCTCCAGTCCTGTGGCCGAACCGTACCCGGGCGTAAGAGGCGCATAAACAGTGAATCTCTGGGAAAGCAGATCCAGGAATGGCGCCCATCCCTTCTGTCCCACAGCTCCGTGCAGGTAAAGCAGGGGAGCTCCCTTGCCGGCCGTGGCAACTTCGGCATGAAAGTCGCCGCCCCGCAATTCCAAGTTGATGGTTTCAGGCATCGTCGCTCCGAGGAAAAGTTACTTATTCTCAGTGTAATTGATTCACAACCCCGCGTACCATTCTGCGATGGCAGCGCCGATTTCGTGCGGCGAGTCCTCCTGGATGAAGTGGACACCTGGGACGGTTACCTCACGCTGGTTGGCGAAGGTTCGGCAGAACTCTCGCTGCGGGCCTGTCAGGATTGCGCCCGGTTCGGCGTTGACGAACAGCTTGGGGATGGGTGTCTGCGAGAGCCATTCAGCATATTCAGCGACGAGGGCTACCACGTCCGCCGGCTCCCCCTCGATGGGGATCTCGCGGGGCCAGGACAGCGTAGGTCTCCGCGACTCGCCCGGTTCGGCATAGCGGCGGCGATAAACTTCCATCGCCTCGTCGCTAATGCCGTGTATTGTGCTGCCGGGAAGTACGCGCTCAACGAAGATGTTGCGTTCCAGCACCATGGTCTCGCCAGCGTCCGAGCGAAATCCCTGGAACACCTGCCGCGCCGCCTCCGGCCACTCGTCCCATGTCACCGGACGCACGATGGCCTCCATGTATACCAGCCCCTTCACACGCTCCGGATGCCGCTTGGCCCAGTGAAAACCCAAGGCCGATCCCCAGTCGTGTACAACCAGCGTTACCGGGCCCTCTGGCAACACGGCATCGAACCATGCATCGAGGTATCGGCTGTGGTCAAAGAAGCGGTACGAGCCATTCGGGGTCCCGTCTGACTCGCCCATCCCCATCAGGTCAGGGGCCAGGCACCGGGACAGCGGCGATACGTTGGGGATGATGTTGCGCCAAAGGTAAGAGGACGTGGGATTGCCATGCAAGAACACCACAACTCCGCCGTCTCCACTGCTAGTATCAACGTACGCCATCTCGACCCCGCCCACATCGGCGCGCAAGCGGGGCTGGAGGTCCTGTGCTGATATGTCGCTTGTGGTCAACCTATCATCCTCGTAGGTGCTCGCCTCAATTAAAGGCGTCCCAATTGAAGGGACGCCCTCTCAAGCGAAATTCACTTGCCAGTGGTGGGCTTACACCATCACCGGCGCAATCGCGTTGGGGTTGGAAACACCCTCCGGCCACCAGCGGGTTTCGTACTCAGACCAGATGTCGCGGACGTAGGGCATTACCTCGCGGGCGAACAGCTCGGTGTTCTTCATCGCGAGTTCCTTGGGCATGTCCCCAAACTGGAGGAGCAGCATCAGGTTGCCGACCCGAAGCTCCTTGATGGCATGTGCCAGGTGCTCCCTCACGGTCTCCGGCCCCCCGACGATGACGTTCCCTGCCTCCAAGTAGTCCTTCCAGGTGAACTCCTTGATCTGGTCTTCCCGCGACTGGGTAGTGGAGTTGGCCACCTGCGAGTTGTTGCTGCGCACCGAGCGGTAGCCCGGCGGGTTCCCGAAGCCAGAGTGAATGTGCAGGCACTTCTTGAAGAAGTACTCAATGGAGTCCTTGTATTCCTCGGCCTGCTCGTCGGTTTCGGACACCGCCACCAGTTGCAGGAACCCGGCGTGGTAAGGGTTGAACTCCTTGCCCTGCCGGTCCATTTCCTCCCAGAAGCCGTCCAGAACTGTCTTGCCCACCTTGTAGCCTGAGTAGGACAGGTAGCAGTAACGTAGTCGTTGCGGATGGTCCAGTCCCACGTCTCCAGGCTGCCGCTGCCGGGTACCCAGATGGGCGGGCGCGGCTGCTGGTAGGGACGGGGCCAATGTTTACATAACGCTGCTGGTTGTACTTGCCGTTGAATGAGAACGGCTCCCGCTCGGTCCAGGCCTTGACCACGAGGTCGTGGGCCTCCTGGTACTTCTCTCGCAGGGTGATGGGCACCTGGCCGTAGCCAAATATGGTGTCCATCGCAGTGCCCAACGGGAAGCCTGCAATGAGCCGCCCGCCACTGAGGCAGTCCAGCATGGCGAATTCCTCCGCCACGCGGATGGGTGGGTTGTAGAGTGCCAGGCTGTTGCCCAGCACCACGATGGCGGCGTGGGACGTGCCGCGGGCCATGGCCGAGGCCATGATATTGGGAGACGGCATCAGGCCGTAGGCGTTGGCGTGATGCTCGTTGACGCAGATTCCATCAAACCCCATTTTCTCGGCGAACTCCAGCTCGTCGAGGTAATCGCCGTAGAGGCGGTGGCCCTGTTTGGGGTCAAAGAGCGAATTGGGCACATCGACCCACACACTGTGGTAATCTTTCTCAAAGTTCTCGGGCAGTCCCTGGTAGGGCATCAGGTGGAAGAAGCACATTTTCATGGTTAACAATCCTGAGGGGGGCGTTTCGGTGATTCTACAACGAATCCCCTACGCCCTGCCACCAAATGGGTTTCTGTCAAGAGTCGGAGGAGAGGGCAAAAGGGGAGATTGGGCGATTAGGCGAACGCCTCGGAGTATTGGACTTCAGGTCCTCGTTTTAATCGTTCCAGCTGAGACACTCCCACCGGGAGAGGCTTAACGGCGACAACAGATCGCCAGCCTGCAGTCCGTTTGTGTTGGAACACTGCCGGTGTCGTTGCCCCTGGTCTGGGAAGACGGCTTACGGTTTGTTCCATTTAGTATTTCCAATGAATACCAGACCCTGCGGAGGACCGAGAAATGAGTAGCATCGAGTCCCAGATCGAACTGGCAAAAACCCTTGCATCCAGCATCAGCGCCCGCGCCGGTTCCCTCACACCGGAACAGTTGGCCCTGCCCAGTGCCTGCTCGGAATGGCAGGTGCAGGATGTCATCAGCCACCTGGTTGGCGGCGCAGAACGACAGATCGATAGCATGCGCCGGGGAAAGGCCGGAGATTCCGGCCCTCCCGAGGGGCTTCGTCCCCTTGGAAAGCACCGCGATGTCGTCCACCAACGCCCAGCGCGACATCAGTCGCCGCGAGCAGCTCGGTGGCAGGCTTGTTTCGGCCTTCGACGAGCACTACGAACGGCTGTACGAAGAGATGGACGGATTCGCCCCTGATGGCTGGGGCACACTCTGCTGGCACCTGCGTCGAGGCGCCATGCCCGCCGCGGACTACGTGGAGCTCCGGATTCAGGAACTGGCGATTCACGACTGGGACCTACGCAAGGCGCTTGAACCTGAGCCTTCTCTCCACCCAGACAGCATTGGCTCCCTCCTCAGCATGGCTCCCAAGTGGCTGGGCATGTGTTTCCGCCCAGGCGAGAAACTGGATACGCCGGTGGTGTACGAGTTCGACTTGGCGCCACCCCACGAGACCACCATTATCGTTCGCGTCTCGGGAGACAGTTTCGACACGCCCACGGCGGAAGAGGCCCCAGAGCGCTGGACGGTATGCGGGGAGGCCCCGGCATTCCTCCTTTTCATCTACGGACGCATCACCGGCCAGGAGGCCATCGCTGCTAACGAGTTTGCCATATCCGGCGACATCGGCCCCTTGGAACAGTTTGAAGCCTGGTTCAAGGGCGTCTAGGCTCGAACCGACGAGCCTCACCGTCAAAACGACAATCGATTTGCGGAGTCATTTGCGTTGAGTACAGACACCAGGGATGTTGTGGTCATTGGCGCTGGGATAGTTGGCAGCATGACCAGCTACCTCTTGTGTCGCCGGGGTCTGAGCGTGACCATGATGGAGGCAGACACTCTCGGCACTCACGCCTCCGGATTGGCCTTTGGTGGTCTCGACCCGCTGCACGGCATCGGAGTACCGGAGCCGCTGCTAGATTTCAGTTTGTTCTGTTTCGGCCGCCACTGGTCCATAGCCAGGGAGTTCCAGGGCGCCACTGGACTCGATCCCCAGTTTCGCTCCCGCGACCGGTTGTTTCTCGCTTTCGATGAGGACGATGTCGAAAAAGAGCAACTCGACGAGGCTTGGATGAGAACCCTCCCCGGCTTCGAGGTCAGGTGGATGAGCCGGGACGATGTCAGGCGGCTGGAGCCCAAGGTAAATCCGGAGTGCCTGGGAGGCTTGTTCATTGGCGGTTTGGCCTCCGTGGACGCTTATCACATGTCCATGGCAGCACTGCGTTCTGCCGAGCGGTTCGGCACCAGGCTCGTAATGCAGAAGGCGACCGGACTGGAGCACAGCGGCGGCCACGCCTTCTCGGTTACGTACGAAGGTGGAAAGATCGAGACAGGCACAGTTGTCATTGCCATGGGGCCCTGGTCCAGCCTGGTAACCGAGTGGTGCGGTGCGCTTGCCCCCGTCGAGCCCCTCAAGGGCCAGATACTCAGGCTGCGGTATGACGGCCCTCCATTCAACGTTTCCCTGAATTATCGAGGCAACTACGTGGACTCGAAAGCGGACGGCCTCGTTTGGGCAGGGTCCACCGAGGAAGAGGCAGGATTCGACGGCCACCCTAACTCAAGGGGACGCGACAGCATTCTTGGCGACCTTGCCCACATGGCACCGTCAGTGGTGTCAGCTCCGATTGTGAACCACACCGCCTGCCTGCGCCCCGTAACACCGGACGGTATCCCCGTCGTGGGCAGGCTGCCCGGTTGGGACAACCTATACCTGGCATCCGGCGCCGGCCGCAAGGGCATACTCTGGAGCGTCGGCATGAGCCCAAGTGGCAGCCGACCTGATCACGCAGGGGCAGACCGAGGTCGCAGGCGCTGAATTCCTGGTCCCCGACAGGTTCATCGCCGATTAGGCCCAAGGCGCCTGCGGCCGTTCCAACCGTGATGACCATTGGCGCTGGTGCGAGTAGACTTGGGTCTCCGCTAGCTGAAGCTCTCTTTCCTGGCTACCAGCAGCCCGTCCTCGCGTGTAATCCTCATCGCAAATTGGTAACGGTCCAGCTCCATGGCCAGGTCCACGTCCTCGGGGTGGAATTGCGGCTGCTCCGGATCGAAGAACTTCTGCGTTGCTCCGCCCGTCATGATCAGCGATCGGACGGACGCGAACTCTGGCTTGCGGACTTCCATGATGTTGCGGAGGTAGATGCCGCACTGCTCGTCCTCGTCTGAGCGCACCCGGCCCTGGTCTCCCATGGCGATGATGGATACCACGTCGGGTTCCTGACAACGGATGGCATCGACTGTCGCCTGCGCTACCACGAATGACCCCAGGTAGATCGTGTCAGCGTTCTCCGCGGCCGCCACGCCCACCGTACCCGCCCGCGTCGACTGCACCAGGCTCTTGCCCGCTACATCAGCCTGAGAGATTTCGAAAGGCGAGTTGCCGAAGTCAAATCCGTCGGGCCTTCTGCCTTCCACTTCGCCCATCAGCAGGTCGCCAACTCCGCTCCGGTGCAGTTGCAGCGCATCGTCCGCCTCTGCCACCAGCGTGATCTGCGTCGCTCCCCGATCAAAGGCAATAGCAGCCGTAGTGAACGCCCGGAACACGTCGATGATGATGGCGGTTCCAGCGGCCTCACGGGCGTCTCTGACCAGGCTGCCCATCCGAATTTCCATAGAGAGTCTCCCTGAATGGTAGCAAGTGCGCGAATAACGCCGAGCCCCCGCATTGGTGAGGGAACTCGGCGTTCGCCGCAAACCAGACTTATAGGATGATCTACCCCAGCTTGGTCAATTTCTGCAGCGAGCGAACCTCGCGCGGCGGGTTCAGGTGGCTGCCGGGTGCGTCCACGAGACCTCGCCAACGAAAATGTCCCCTCTGGAGTTGATGCATACGCCGTGGGGCGCGATGAAATGGCCCGGCTCCTCGCTTTCCGGCGCATCGCCCAGCCGCGCCAGCACGTTGCCCTTCACGTCGTGAATGCCGACGCGCGGGCCGAGGCCGTAGGCCTGCGAGTTGGGGCCGATGGCGACGCCCAGCTCGCCGACGTATACCTTCTGGTCGCCGCTCTGGTCGATGTACAGGCCGCAGGGACGGGCCATGTTCTTCCACTGGGTCTCGAACTTTCCGTTCTTGTCGAACACCTGGATGCGCTGGTTCTCCCGGTCGGCCACGTAGACCCAGCCGTCCTTGTCGGTGCAGACGTTGTGGGCGATGTTGAACTGTCCCTCGCCGGTGCCGGACTCGCCCCACGAGAATAGCAGCTGGCCGTCGGGAGTGTACTTGTGGACGCGGGCGTTCCCGTATCCGTCCGACACGTAGAACTCGGCCGTATGCGGGTCGATGGCGACGTGGGTGCAGCGGTTGAACGGGTCGCCGCTCATGAACGGGGCAGGTGTGCCTGGAATGCCCAGGGTGAACAGCACGGTCCCATCGAGGTTGCACTTGCGGACGGTATGGTCGCCGTCGTCGCTGCAGAATATGGTGTCGTCAGGACTCATGGTAATGCCGTGGGCCCTGGGGTAAAGCCCCTCGCCCCACGACCGCAGGAAATTCCCGTCAGCGTCGAACACTATCATCGGGTGCTCGCCCCGGTTGAACACGTAAACATTGTCGTTGGCGTCGCAGCCCACCGCCGCGCACTCCTTGAATGACCAGCCGTCCGGAAGCTTGCCCCAGCCTTCGGCAACCCTCATACCGGTATTCGCCTTCCCCCAGTGTCACCATATTGCAGCCTCTCAAGACTCAGAATTCGGAATCGGGGTTTAGTGTTCTCGCACGCGTATGACTTTGGTGTTGCTGCGAATCGCGCCTGGGTCACAATTCACGGAAGGTTGTGAAACCTGCCGACCCCAGGGCGTCGGGCTTGTCGTCGTCAGGCCCCGTGGGCCCGCCCCGCCGGGCTTTGGCGCTCCACTCCTCAATCTGCACCTCCACCAGCGCAGTAACGCCAAGGTCGGCAACGGGCGGCGGGTTGTAGTCGCGTTCCAGGAGCCTGTCTGGGAAGTAGCGCTGTACCATCTGGTCGAATAGCGCGAACTTCTCGTCGTGGTCCGTTACCTCACGGCCGGTGCCGAACAGAACAACGCTCCGGTAATTCATCGAGTGGTTCATCGCCTTGCGGGAATAGACCAGCCCGTCAGTCAACGTTACGGTTACGCACACCGGGGCGCCAGTGGCAAGCAACTCCATGGCTCGGCTGCGTATGGAACCGTGCAGGTAGAGCCGATCGGGGTTCTGACCGTCGTAGTGATAGGAAAGCGGAATCACATACGGCAGGCCGTCCTCGATGAATCCCACGTGGGCCACCAGCCCGTTGCTCAGGATTTCGGCCGCCTCTTCCGGGACCGCTCGTTCTGGATGATTCTTGATTCGGCTGCGTTCGCTAATCTGCAATCTGGTCTCCGGCTTTTTTAATGGTGCCGCCGGGCTATTACCCAAGCGCCGCAAGAAGGTCCAATATCAAATAATGTTCCGGTTGATTTTATCACGGCTCCTCACGGGGACAGGTGTACCGGCGTTTGCCACCAGGGCAATCGCGCCTTATTACTCAGCACACAAAATTGGCCTGAATGGTGGTGGAGATGGCAGTGCCAGTGCCTCCCCTTCGGTTCCTGATGTGAGGGTAGACGGGGGTTTGGATTCCCGCCTGCGCGGGAATGACGACTTATGGGGCCTTCGGCGTTTAAGACGCGATTGCCCTGCCCCCATCCCCGCTTTCGCGAGTGTAGGCTGCTACCCTCCCCCGGAGGGAGATGGAATTCTTAAGAGACGTGTGGCCTGGCCTTCGCTGAGGAAAGGGACCTGTGCCGACAAAAACCCGGATTTTCCACTCATTTCCGATCATTTCCGCCGATTGCGGGGTGCGAGGGATCAGGCGGTGCCGGGGATATTCCGTTCCAGGTTGTTCAGCCAGGAACCATTGGCGGCCCAGGGGAGGAGGGTGGTGATGATGCCCCTTATTACGGGACGCCTATCGTCGTCGATGCACCGCTGGAGGTATTTCTCGAAGGCCATATAGGTCTGGAGTCGGAAGCCGGCGTCGGCCACCTTGCGGACGCAGGCGTAGGGGTCGGGTTTGGGCTGCTTGTTGGCAATGGCCAGGTGCCAGAGCTCGGTGATCTCATTTGCGACGCGGCTGAGTCGGATGATGGCGAGCTCGGGGGCAAATTTGCGCTTGAGGGCCTCGACGCCGTTCCTGATCTGGCGCAACGACATATGGCGCGACGACATGATTCAGCCTCCTGATGGTTTCCGAAAATTTGGATAATCCGCTCATTTCCGATCAAACCGAGCATTTCCGATCATTTATGCCTTTTGCCCTTGGGAGTTGCGCGCGACTCCGTGCTGGGATCCGGCCTGCGGCAGCGGGTTGTATTTCTATGTATTCAGGCTAGAGATGTGTCATGAGGCTTGTAAAGGGGCAACTGTCAGCAAATTTGGCGGGCTCGTCTTGAGGCTCGGTGCCGTGGATTACGGGACCGGCCCTTGCTCTTGCGGGTGTGACGGGGGTTTGGATTCTCATTCCCGCTTGCGCGGGAATGACGACTTATAGGGCCTCCGGCGTTTAAGACGCGATTGCCCTGCGTTTGCCACCCTTGGGGCCGCATTGCTAATATGGCGTGAAATACAAGATTAGGCGGGAAACTATGCCGCATCACGAGGAACAGCAGACAAGGCGCGACTTCGTCAAGTATTCCCTGTTCAAAATCGACCCCAAGTGGCGGGGCACTCCCGCGGAGGAACGTAGGGTCGGAAAGCAGGAATTCACGGCCGTTCTTGACGAATTCTCGGAGAGGGTGTCTATCTCCAGCTACAGCATGGTCGGTACCAGGGGAGACGCCGACATGATGCTGTGGATGGTCAGTCCTACACTGGAGGCCATTAACGAACTCTCGGCTCAGATCAACCGTACGGCTATGGCCCCATACCTGACGATGCCGTATTCCTACTTGGCGATGACCCGCCGCTCGCCCTACGTGGTAAGCCACCGACACGAGGGTCAGGAAGGAACCTCCTCAACCATGCGCATCGTCGGCCGCAAGTACCTGTTCGTCTACCCCTTCGTCAAGACACACGAGTGGTACCAGCTACCCAGGGAGGAGCGACAGGAGCTGATGAACGAGCATTTCGTTATCGGCCACAAATACCCCGACGTAAAGATCAGCACGGCATATTCATTTGGTCTCGACGACCAGGAATTCGTTCTGGGGTTCGAGACCGATGACCCGTCCAATTTCCTGGACTTGGTCATGGACTTGCGTGAGTCCAAGGCCCGCCCCTACACGTTGCTGGATACGCCGATATTCTCCTGCATCGGCAAGCCAATAGAGGCCTGCCTGGACGACCTAGGATAGCGCTCTCTTCAGAACCTTCAGGCATTCTGGGAATTCCAAACAGAGAAAAGGGCCTGTCATCTTACAGGCCCTTTTTGATGCCAGTGGAAGTAAACGGGTAGTTGCGGGTTATTTCCGCTTCAACTCAGCAGGGTCGGTATTCTTGAAGTAGTCGTAGTTTTTGGCGATGTACTCCTGCCACTCCGCGGGAACCGAGTCCTCGGCGAAGATGGCGGTTACCGGGCAGACAGGCTCACAGGCGGCGCAGTCGATGCACTCGTCCGGGCTGATGTAGTATTGGTCGTCCTCGTCGCGGGTATAGATGCAGTCTACCGGGCAGACATCGACACAGGCGGAGTCTTTCAGGCCAACGCAGGGCTCAGCGATGATGTAGGTCATTGCGGTCGGCTCTCTTACAATGATTGAAGGTACGACCTGATTGTCGTGGGGCGTGCCAGGCCGTTCGTAGCCATTTTAGCACAGTGAAGGGGGTTTGCAATAATCCATCCCGCAATGCCGCGGTGCCCTATTAGCGAAGAAGAAACCTGTCCTTCGAGCTAAAATGAGGCGCCACCACGGCGGCAACTGCTAGAGGACTAGGCCATAGGTCCGTTTCTTGATCGACAGGTTTACGAACGTCTCGGTTCGCTGCACGCCGTCCACCACCCCTACCTTGGTGCGCAGGAAATTACCCAGGTTCTCTGCTGATTCCAGCCCGGCCCAGATGAACACGTCGAAGGCGCCCGTGGTTATGGCGACATAGTGCGCCTCGTCCAGCGATGCAATCGCCTCGGCAACGGAATCCGACTTTCCGGGCCCGGTTTGCAGCCCGATCAGCGCAGTGGTCGCATAGCCCAGCTTTTCCAGGTTGGGCACCGCGACTACCTTGACCACGTCGTCCTTGATCAGTCGGCGCAGCCGGCGGCGTACTGTGCCTTCGCTTACTCCCACTTCTCGCGCGATCTTGGCGTTCGAGGCCCTGCCATCCAACTGCAACAAGGCTATAATTTTGCGGTCCAGTTCATCCATTGTGATACGCTCCCTTAGTTTGCCTGTGGCAGTAAACCACGGCGCGTCCGCCACTTGGCTCGGACTCACCCTGCCACGGCGGAATATCTTAATTTCCTCCATTTGAGAGTGTCAATAGCGAAATCTTCCTTTACCATGCTTATTATAGCCCAAAATCGGCGCAAGTTGGGCGGTTGTTTCATACAAACTGACTAATCTCTTGGCGACTTTGACTAGCCGGCTGTTGATGTCCCGGAGGCCCGCCTGTTCTCCACCCTTGTCATGAACGCTATTTTCAGGTCTGCTGCACTACTGCCCCAGAGCCAAATGAAGCAAGGCGTCTCCCCTGTGCAGGGAGTCCGTGCCGCGTTGACATGCAGGGGCGCTACTGATAAATTCTACTAGTTGCCGATTAGTAAATGCCCCGGGTGAAGTGCTAGATACTTATCTACCCCCGGGTGGTTTAGCGCTAGGAGATGATGGATGCCTCGATACGATTACCGCTGCGTCGGGTGTGATAACGAGTTCGAGTTGAGGCAGAGCTTTAGCGAAGCTGGCAAAGGTACCTGCCCACAGTGCTCCGGAGAGGGTCAGCGCGTCTACCATGCTGTTCCGGTGATCTACAAGGGCAGTGGGTTCTACACTACTGACTACGGTCGCCCCAAGCCTCCAGTTGAAAATGGCTCGAGCAAGGCCGACAGTGAATCGGCTAAGACCAGCAGCGACAGCAAGCCCGCCGAGTCTCCCTCCAGCGGCGACAGTTCCAGCGATTCTTCTGGCAGCGAGTCCACCTCGACTCCCGCCAGCGCTGCTGCCTCCAGCTGACCTTCCCGCACGTTCCCAGATGCGTTTGTAAGAGAGCCGGTCGCGCCAGGGCGTACCGGCTCCTTTAATTTGATCACCAAGCAAAGAGACCTTCATCTATGAGAGCCCTGGTACAGCGGGTAGCCGAAGCGTCGGTGGAAATCGACGGCGCTGAAGTTGGAGGCATCGGGCCTGGCCTGCTGGTCCTCTTGGGGGTATCTGCTGATGACGATGAAGCGGACGCCGCTTACCTGGTGGCCAAGATAGTCAACCTGCGGGTATTTGCCGACGATGCCAATCGCTTCAATCTGTCCGCACTGGACGCGGGCGCGGAGGTGCTGGTAGTCAGCCAGTTCACTCTATATGCCGACACCCGGCGAGGCCGCCGCCCCGACTTCACCCTTGCTGCGCCTCCCGACTTGGCAGAGAAACTTTTACGAACGCACGGTGGCGTTGCTGCGCGATACTGGCCTGACCGTAGCCACCGGTCGATTCCAGGCCTACATGCAGGTAAAGTCCCAGAACGATGGCCCGGTAACCATTATGCTGGACAGCGCCGATCGCCATCGCTCGAGGCACTGACGCCGTCAATGGGCCCCGGACCGTCCCAGACGGTCGGCTCGTTGAATGCCCAATCTGGTCGCGCTCCGGAGTGGCTACCAAAGCGAGCGCTCTGCTAACGGTGCCAGCCCATACCCTGGTACAGACCACGCAGGTACGCTATCTGCCCGCCATGGGCCAGGTTGTCCCACATAACCTGTCCAAAGCACGCGGCGAGGCTTCTCGGCTCGGGAAGCGGCGGCAGCACGATCTCCCTGGCCAGTTCCTCCTCCGTGACTTGGGCCAGGTAAGCCTGTGTGGCAGCCTTCACGGCAAGGTAGTAACCCTCCTGCACCTCTCGCGAAGGCGGGGTCCACGCCGCCACCTGCTCCGCGGTCCAACCAACTCCCCTGTCTTCGATGCCCGGCTGCACGCTGAATTGCTCCACCCACCCGTCCTTTGTCCACAGCTGCTCTGCATCCTGGAGCCGCAAGTGGACGAACATGTCCATTACGCGGGTCAAATGCCACAGTATCCAGGCTGCCGAGTTGCACTCGTTGGCGGGCGCGCGAGTGAGCATATCGTCGTCCATGCCCGCCAGAGTCAATTCGATCATGTCCCAGTTTCGTTCCAGGCAGTTGATAATGGGGTCGGTCGTTTTGGCCATGAGTAATTACCTCGGGCACGTTTCGCAAAAATCTGGACGCCCCTGCAACCAGCAGAGGCGTCCTGCGAGAATTCTAAGGGTGAGAAATTTACGAGTTGTACCTGGAGCTATTCAAATTCAAGATCCAGGCTGATATCCAGTGCGGGTGGCGAGTGGGTCAGCTCGCCGATGGATATGAGATGAACGCCCGTACTGGCTACATCGCGAACGGTGTTGAAGTTGATACCGCCGGACGCCTCTACAACCGCTTGGTCGCCGATGAAGCCCATGGCTTCCCGCATCATCTCCACCGGCATGTTGTCCAGCATAATGATATGCGCCCCGGCGTCCAGCGCCTCCTGCGCATCCTCCAGCGTCTCCACCTCGACCTCGACCCGTATGGTGTGCGACGCGCGCTCCAGCGCCAGTTCGATTACCTGCCGCAGACCCATCTCACGGAACCGGTTCGCCTCGATGTGGTTGTCCTTGATAAAGGATGCCGTCGGCCAGATTATATCGGTGGTTGTAGCCTCCACCGGCCCTTACTGAATATTTGTCCAAGTAGCGGTGGCCGGGCGCGGTCTTGCGGGTGTCCACAATCCGCGACCGGGATCCTTCGATAGCCCTTACATAGCGGTTCGTCAGGCTCGCGATGCCGCTCATTCGCTGCATGAAATTCAGCGCGATTCGCTCGGCCCGTAAAATACCGCCCGCAGGTCCAGCGACCCGAGCAATGTCATCCCCAGGTGCCAGCGTGGCCCCGTCAGCCATCAACGCATCAAGCTCCAGCTCAGGCTCCACCCGCCGGAACACGGCCATTCCTACTTCCACGCCCGCCAGCACCCCGGCTGCCTTCGCCCGCAGTATCCCCACGCCCCGGATCTGTGGCGGCACCAGCGCGGCGGTCGTCGGGTCGTTGAAAGTCTGGTCCTCGGCAATTGCCGCGTCGATCAGTCTGTAAACTTCTGGCGGAAACTCAGGCAACGAACCGCTCCTTGATGCTCAGACTATACCTTAAATCAACTACCGCAACTGCAGCATCCGGTCCAGGGCCACCCGCGCCTCCCTACGAATGTCCTCCGACACGGTGATCTCGTTCATCACAGTGTCCCTCAGTAGCGACTCCATCACCCCACACGCACGTAGGCCGGATGTATGCGGTACATCGTGGAGCATGGACAGGTGACCCGGGTCAAGGCAGAATACCGTCTTGTCCAGGGTTGTTGATGGCCAGCCGGTTCACCAAGCTGATCTCGTGCCAACTGCCCAGACGCTTCCAGCTGGGGCATTGTTGATCTGGTTGCGGATGAACTCCGTTGAGCCCACCAGGTCGGCAGCCTGCACTGTCTCCATCACGCACTCGGGATGCACCAGCACGTTGACGTCTGGGAATCGCTGGCGGGCCATCTCGATCTGCCTGACCGTGAAGCGGGTATGCACCGAGCAGTGGCCCTGCCACAGCACCATCTTGGCGCGGCGCAGCTGCTCTGGTGTGTTGCCGCCCATGGATCGGAACGGGTTCCATACCACCATCTCGTCCAGCGGCACACCCATCTTCAGTGCGGTGTTGCGGCCCAGGTGCTGGTCCGGCAGGAACAGCACCCGTTTGCCCTGTTCAAACGCCCACTTCAGCACCGCGTCTGCGTTGGAAGAGGTGCAGACCGCTCCGTCGTTGCGTCCACAAAGGGCCTTGATGCCGGCGATGGAGTTCATGTAGGTGACCGGGACGATTTCCCCTTCTCCTAAGACCTCCATCAGGTCTTCCCAGGCGTCATCCACATCCTCCATCGGCGCCATGTCGGCCATCGAGCAGCCGGCGGTGATGTTGGGCAGGATCACCCGTTGGTGCTCCCCAGCCAGTATGCACGCGGTCTCGGCCATGAAGTGCACGCCGCAGAAGATGATGAAGTCGGCCTCCGGCTTGCTGGCCGCCTGCTGGGAAAGAAGGAACGAGTCTCCCTGGAAATCGGCGTACTTGATCACTTCTTCCCGTTGGTAGTGGTGGCCCAGGACTGTGACCGACGTACCCAGCTTCTGCCGGACCGTGTGTATGCGTTCATCCAGCTCGTCGGCGGTGTAGTGAAGGTATTCGGTGGGAATCTGTTGCCAGCGAACATTGACGCTGAGTTCCTCGGCCAGGGGCTTTGCAGGCAGTTCGTCCTCGGTCTTGCAGAAGGCCGAGTGTTCCAGTTCCGTTATGGGTGCGATGGGACGGCGGCGGGTTGTCATCTTTGATCCCCTCTCAAGACTGTTTCGAAATGCGGAGACCTGAGTAGGGCAGCCCCACCCGGGAAAGTGCCGCAATTCGCGTTGCTAGGACGGTTGTCCTTGGAGAGACCACGGCCCGGCGCGTTCAACCCGCACGTTCACTAATTCTCCCAGCCGGTTGCCGTCGTCTTCGGTTATCGGGAAAAATACCAGTTTGTTGGATCGTGTGCGCCCCTGCCACTTGCCCTTATTGCGTGCCTCTACCAGCACCTCGAATTCGCTGCCGACCAGGTCCGCGTTGACTTCGGTCAAAATGCTCTGCTGCAGGGCGTCAATCCTCTCCCGGCGGCTTACCTTCACCTCGTGAGGGATGTCATCCTCCATGTTTCGGTCCGCGATGGTGCCTGGTCGCGTTGAGTATGCGGCACAGTGAACTTTGTCCATCCGTAGCTGCTCAATCAGGCCCAAGGTGCGCTCGAACTGCTCCTCGCTCTCGCCCGGAAAGCCCACGATGATGTCGGTGCTGAGCGATGCACCCGGCACGGTGTCCCGTATCTCATCCACTAGGGAGATGTACTCGTTGCGGGTGTAGTTTCGGCGCATCCGGGCCAGAACCTCGTCGTCTCCGGCCTGCACTGGTAGGTTGATGTGCTCGCAAACCTTGGGCAGCTCGGCCACTGCTTCGATGATGCTGCGGCTCATATAGTTCGGATGCGAAGTCAGGAACCGGATGCGGTCCAGTCCGTCCACCTCGTTGAGCCGAGCCAGCAACGTGGCCAGATCCGGGCGCCCACCGTCCTGTTCCGCCAGATCGTGGCCGTAGGCGTCCACCGTCTGCCCCAGCACCGTTACTTCCCTCACGCCGCGTGATACCAGCAGTTCCACCTCGCGCGCTATCTCGTCCACCGGGCGGCTGACCTGCCGGCCCCTGCGGTACGGGATAATGCAGAAGGTGCACATCAGGTCGCAGCCGTGGATGATCGGAACGTGGCAGGCGACATCCGGGCGGGTGGGCGCCAATGTGCCGACGCACCCCTCCCAGTCGAGGCTGAGCCTTTCGCCCACCATGTCCAGCAGCGGCTCAAACTGCTGCGGCCGCATGAAGACGTCGACGTATGGAAACCGGCGGGCAAGTTGGTCCGACTTGGGGCCCACCATGCATCCCATGAGCGCGATCACCGTGTCCGGGTTCTCCCTCTTCAGCCGCGAGAACGCGCCCAGGTTCCCCACCACTTTTCTTCAGCCGACTGCCGTACCACACAGGAGTTCAGGACGACCAGGTCGGCATCCTTGGCGCTTTCAGCCGACTCCAGCCCCATTTGCTCCAGGGCGGAAGCGAGGCGCTCCGAGTCCGCCGTGTTCATCTGACAGCCGATGGTCCAGATGTGATAACTGTTCATAACACCAAAGGGCGAGAGCCTCACCGACTATGAAGAAATCAGGACAGGGCCAGTGGAATGATGAGCGATTTCAGGGCGTTGAAGCCACCAGTTCTTGGGCGAAGGCTATGCACGATGATCGGTAATCCCGGACGTGCAGTCCGGTGCCGGAAAGGTGCCCCCGACTGTTCCTCACAAGCTTTGTATAACCGTTGATTGTATAGTTCGTAGTGGGTGTTATCAAGACCGGTCAAACGCCGACCCGGGGCAATTGCATTTGGATATTGTTATGACAGTTGCCACTTGCCAAGCCTCATGGCGCCTCCGTAACATATATTCGTATGCCTTCTGCCCACTGTTCCCATGCCAATTCTCTGCCTGGGCTTTTGCCGTCAGGCCGCCCGAAAACAGGACGGAAAGGGTGGGTGGGACGGAATGGGACAGAATGGGGCGGGAATCGCGATTTTCCGGCAATTTGGGAGAAATCCAGATACGACGGACCGTAAATTTGGGACACGGTGGGACAAAATGGGACAGGAGTGGGAAATTGCTGTCCCACAGGAGCAGCGCATTCCCTTTGGCAAGCCTTACCTTTTTTACATCCGCGATAGTTTCCCTGTGTAGCCACGGAATCCGATCAGCGAAATGCGATAGCCCTGAACGCCGACCTCGCGGTTCCGAGTCAATTAGCCCTAATGCGGTGATATCACGGTTCCAATTCCGGTGGCCTCAGTATCGTAGGGGCGGACTTCAAACCCGCCCCGATGCCACGTCAGGATGGCTTTTCGGGTCTGGACACCTGAAAGTGAATGCAAACTCGACGATTTATGACGGCATTTCGACGTCTTGCAAGGTTGACAACGTTACCTATGCAACGTATCGTGCTAGGCACTCCAATTTGTGCTTTTATTGGGAAAGGGCGAACCTTTCGAAGAGGTGTACTTTATGGCCACGGTACAAAACCGCACTTCTTACTGGGAACGGGCCAAGGAGCAAGGATTCGACCTTTCCTGGTTGAGTCAGCTTGAGGAAAGCGTTACCGGTAAGGATGTTGACGAGGTATCCAGGAACGATACAGGCCGGGTCGAAGGTTCCATACCCCGCAACAATGTTCCTCGGTTCGGAGCCTACACCTTCCGGACCAAGAGCGAGGTTTGGGCACATAACCTGACCAAGCTCTACCACGAGTTTGTCACCCGCCAGTGGAGTTCCGCCACAGACATCCCTTGGGATACCATCCAGGAACTGCCCGATGACGTAGAGGCTGCTCAATGTCAGTTGGCTACATTCTTCGCCCAGGTGGAGTTTGTCGCCTCCGATGTCCCGGGTCGGTTCATTTCCTCAATGTCCCCCGACTACCACGAGGTCCGGCTGGCTCTGCTGGCACAGGTTATGGACGAGTCCCGCCATCTGGACGTTTTCCGGAAGCGTGCCTTGGCCAACGGTGGCGGCCTGATGCGAATGATCGACACCGTCAGCGATGTCGTCGGTGGCAGCACGGATAACGCCCGCGAATTCACCGAGCTTTCGTCCCGCCTTCACATCACTGGTGAAGGTAACGTATTGACCCTCTTCCGGCTCGGCGAACTCATGGCCTACAACGAGGCGGAAAAGGCGATCTACCGGCGTTGCGCCCAGGACGAGGCGCGCCATGTGGCCATCGGCGTGCTTCACCTCCGCTACATGAACGAATTCGCCCCTGACCGGCGCGAAGAGATTCACGGCTACCTGGATGAGGGTGAAGCCCGACAGGCCACCGGAGCCGGTGGCGAGAATCCGGCAGGGGTCAACACGCTCACCAGCGAGGCCTTGGCCGTTCTGCTCGGTGGCGGCAAGGACAAGGTTGAAGAGGGCCAGAAGATCCTGATGGCCATCCGGCAACGGCAGGTCAAGGAGTACTTCCAGCGCCTCAAGTCCGCCGGTTTCGACGACCGGATCCACAACGGCCGGGTCAATCCCGCCTTGCTCGAGACCTACCAAGCGGCTGCGTAGCCGAATCGTTGCTCAGTTTCGAGATCTCCCCCGAGCCATCGAGGGAGGTCTCGTTTTATACAGGCCGGACCAGTATTATCACCACAGGATCCCCCGAGGACTGTGATGTCGTTAAACGAAGAGAACAAGCCGGATTCGCCTGAGGAGCAGGATTCCCCGGCGGCATCCGAAGAGACGGCTGAACCGCCCGCCTCACGGGCCGCCTCCTTGGCATGGATGAATGACACGTTGGAGTGGGGAGTCAAAGCGGTGCCGGGTAAGCACGGGTTGACCATGCGCGGCATTAACATCGGCAGCTACGCTGAAGTCCCAGACTCCAGCACCGACATGAGTCGGCGGCCTCGTGGCGCCTCTCCGGTGTCGGGAGTTCCCAGGACCGACTTTTACGCCCTCAGTTCCAAGGTGGACATCTGGGCCGACAACGCCGTGGACCTCTACGAGGAGGCCATCCAGCGGCGGTGGATGGCCCATGCCGACGTCCCTTGGGACGAACTGACCGAGCTCCCTCACGAAGTGGAACTGGCCATGCGCCAGCTGTGCACCGAGTTGGCTCAGCAGGCATCCATCGAGACCGACACGATAGGCAACTGGCTCCACAAGATGAACTACGCCTATCACGAGGTAAAGACCTTCCTGGCCTCCGAGGTCTTCGATACCGGCCGCCACTACTCGGTTTTCCGGCAGCGCGCCCTCGCCAATGACGGCTCCCTGGGCTTGGAGAGTTCCGGACACATCAACCGCCGCCTGGTTGAGGTGCGGGCTGGGTGGACCGAAGCCGCCCTCTACCTGTACATCATTCGCGGCCCGCTCACCCTGCTGCTCTACCGATTCGGCGAGGCCTACGCCAGCAACCCGGCGGACAAATACCTGTTCCGGCGCTGCATGGAAGACAAGGCCCGACATATGGCCTACGGCATGGCTCACATCAAGTACGCCGTTGAGCACCAAGAAGAGGGTTTTGCCAAGGGGCTAAGCAACCTGATGCAGGGCGTTGAACACGACATCGGCCTCGAACTCAAGGACCCAGTGCTCTGGGAGGCGCTTGCAATCATCTTCGGTGGAGGATTGGCCAACATCTCCGCGGGGATGGCGGTGGTCCGGGATCTGCAGCAGAGATACATCGAGGAATACTTGGCTCGATTGGAATGGGTGGGCGTCCCCAAGACCGAGGCTAACCTGTCACCGGCCCTGGCTTCGTACCTGCGCCGGGAAGAAACCAGCCCGGCTAGGAATCCGTCATGCCGATTTATGAATACCGGTGCCAGGACTGCCAGTCGGTGAACAGCGCATTCCTGCGATCTTTCAGTTCGCCGGCTCCCTCCAGCTGCCAGTTCTGCGCCAGCGACCAGCTGCAGCGGATAATGTCCCGGATAGCATACGTACGTTCCGAGGCCGACAAGTTCGCCCAGTTGGATTCCAAGTACGTCAGGATGGTCGATCAGGCTTTGGGCAAGGCGCCCGCCAACTCGGACCCCGATTTCCACATGAACAAAATGGTCCCCTTCAGCCAAGCCAAGGAAGCCGGAGAGCCCTACTTCAAGGAATAGGGCTCAATAACGCTCCTGGAAGGTCTTTCACCTCGACACACGGCAACAGTTATCAGGAGGAAACGGATGAGCGCCCAAGGGGCGAAGACGTTGGTGTTCCCGTCAATAGAATGGTTCCAGGGTCTGCAGGAACTGGTCAATAACGACCCGGAATTCAGGCATCTGGGCAGTGTAGACGCGGTCATGGGCGTGTCGGTCGGAGAGCGGGTATTCTTGATTACTTTCGAAGCCTTCGAATGCGTTGAGGTAAAAGAAGGAACGGAATACGATCTGATCGACGCCGATTTCTTTCTCAATATGAGCGTTGAGAAGTGGCAGGAACTGATCGTCAACACCAGGGAAAACGGCGGAGCAGACCTCAGCCACACGCTGAACACACTGGACCTGATGACCGAGGGCGGTATTAGCGACAACGCCACCGGCGATCAGCTCAGGGCCGACATATTCTTCCGGGTAAACCAAAGCCTCCAGCACTTCTTCGACAGTGCGGCGCAATTGGAAACGGTCTTTGAACAGGGATAGCGGCTACGCACCTCCGGTCTGAAAATCAGCGGCGTCTATCGGACAAGCACTTGGGCAAGTCCCGGGAACGAAAATCTACAGGCGCCAAAGTCCGGCAACCCGGGACAGCGAGGGGCCTGAGTCATTGATTTCCAGAGTGGGTTGTTCCATCAAAAGCATGGCGATTTCAAAAGATTGTCGAGGCAAGTAAATGGAATATCGTCAATTCGGCCCTACCGACATGACCACATCGGTCTTGGGGTTCGGATGCTGGGAGATGGGTGGAGGATACGGCGACATCAGTGAATCAGAGGTCATCGACGCGGTGCACCGGGCCATCGACCTTGGCATCAACTGCTTTGACACTGCACCGGCCTATGGCCGCGGCGAGTCCGAGACCATGCTGGCAAGAGCGCTGGGGCCCAGGAGAAAGGATGTCTTGGTGGTCACCAAGTGCGGGGTGGGGTATGAGGGTCGGCCGAAGGGGCGGGACAGCCGGCTGGTAACCGTCATGGAATCCGTTGAACAGAGCCTTCAGAATCTCCAAACAGACTATTTGGATGTCCTGTTAATTCACTGGCCCGATGTCAACACCCCCTTCGAAGAGACGATGACCGCTCTGGACAACATAGTCCAGCAGGGCAAGGCCAGGGCGATCGGGTTGTCAAATTTCACCCTCCAACAGATAGAGGAATGCGCAGAGACCCGGCAGATAGACGTTCTGCAATACGGCCTGAATATGTTTGATCGCCGGGTAGAGCAGGAAATATCGCCCTACTGCCTCGATCAGGGTGCAGGTCTCATGGTCTATGGCCCATTGGCTTTCGGCCTGCTGACAGGCGCTTTCACCTCCGACACTGCCTTTGGAACCAACGACTGGCGGTCCACCGGGGGGCGGCCGGGCTGGAACGTGGGCGTCTTTGCCGAAGAGAACTTCCAGCGCAACGTGCGAGTGGTGGAGGAACTGGCCCCTGTGGCCACGAGACGCGGCAAAAAGATGCCGCAACTGGCTCTGCGTTGGGTTCTGTCCAACCCTGCGGTTAGCGTTGCCTTGGTTGGCACCCGCACCATCCGGGAAGTCGAAGACAACATGGGTGTCATGGACTGGGCCCTCTCCGCCGCGGATCTGGCGGAAATCGATCAAGTGTTTGAACGCTATGGAGTCGACACCTCCCCGAACATAATTATCGACCCCGACGAATAATACCTGCTTGGGATCTGGTCTGACTCACCCTATTGTCGAATGCGATTCCTGGTCCAACTTCCTTTCAAGGGACACCCCGGAAGGTCAGCAGGATCTCGTAGATGCCAAAGTGCTCATGGCTGAGGCCGGCATTCCCGGCCGCTCTGAAGTCCCGTACACCGCGCGCGTAGGTGGGAAGCTCCCCTGCCCAGTGCTAGGTTGTCACGCGGTAGTTGGAAGTTGCCCTGGGCATCACCGGTCACGTCCAAACTCTGCTCAGCGCAGCCGGATATGCCATGTGCGGGCGCTTCTCGTGCCGCCAATCCAATCCCAGTCCTATCGGGTGGACTCAGCATCCCTAGTGAAGCGCACCTTCGATTCCGCTCATCGTGCTCGACCGGATCACGGAATTGCAAAAACTTACGGATTTCGGTTTGGGTAGTTGTGCTCACCTGTGTTATTCTTCAGCAACTTAGCAAGGTGTTAATCCAAATCGGTGTTCTGGAGGCTGGCTGTGCCGGTTCAGAGATTTCCAAACATGTCCAAGGACTACCCCACCTTTGACTGCGACGCCCACATAACGGAACCGCCGGAGATTTGGGAGCGGGCCAACGACAACCTCACCAGTCAGGAACTGGAGGCGCTCAGGTCCACCATGTGGTATGACCCTGAGAGCAGGCAACTGATCGTCAACGGCAAGGCGGGCGTTGGCATCGGCTCCCAGCGCCGCGGCGGAATCCCGGGTACGATGCGGGTCATCACCAACGCTGGACCCGGCGTAAAGCACGACATCCAGAGGGCGCTCAATGTGCGCAACCTTGATCCGTCGACCTCCCTGACCCAGGAGCAGGTGGAGTACCTGGACCACGATGGCGCCTACGAGCCTGCCCCGCGCCTGCGCGACATGGATATGCAGGGCATCGACCAGGTCATGATCATCCCCTCCGATATCGATACTTACCCGTGGCTGCAGAACGCCTTGGGCGCCAGGGCTGCTTGCAAGGCCTATAACGACTGGGCCTATGAATACACCCTGGAAAACCCGGACAGGCTCTTCTTTGCCGCCTTGCTGCCCCTGCAGAATCCCCTCTACGCCGCGGAGGAAATCTACCGCGTGGCGGAGCGGGGTTGCCGAGTTGGGCTGATCAGGCCCATGGATGCTTGGGGTAACTACCCGGTGCAGCCAAAGTACGAGCCGGTCTGGAACGCGCTGGAAGAAACTGGTCTGGTGTACGGCATGCACCCCTTCCCGGCCAGCGGCGGCCTCAAGCCCATGGGGTACAGTGAGCAGTACTCCGGCGCCGAACTGATCCGCCGCACCATTTCCACGTCCGGCATCCCTCATTCCTTCCTGTCCAACGTGCAGAATTTCCAGGCCGAGGCCGCGCTCTGGGTCAGCATGGTGCTGATGTCCGGGTTCTTTGAAAAGCATCCGAAGATCAACGCCGCCGTTTTCGAAGCGTCGTCTACCTGGCTCAGCTTTGTGCTGGACGAGTGCGACAAGGCCTACAAGCTGTATCGCAACGAACGCCAGATGGCGCCTCTCTCAAGGCTCCCCAGCGAGACCTTCTTCGAGCATTGCATGACGGGGTTCGAGGGCGATGAGGCTCCGCCGTCCCGCTTCCCCGAGTTCTACCGGGACATCCTGATCTGGGCCTCCGACGTCTACCATCACGACGGCGACGACGTCTGGCGGGCCATCGACACCATGCAGCAGTGCGAGCTGCCCGTTGCCGATCAGGCCCTGTTCCTGGGTGGCAACGCTCGGCGTCTATACAGGGTTGACCCACCCAAGGACATCATCCGTCAGCGGGTTACCGAGATCGACAGGCCCGATTGGTGGCCAACTGAAGAAGAGATCGACAAGGCTCTCCTTCCAGAGTCCAGCCTGCTCAGGCGCTAGCCCCGGAGAACACATCCGAATGCAAGAGGCCCCTCAGATTGGGGCCTTTTGCTTACGAGCGTCCCAATGCGGGTCCGCTGATTTGGGAGGATTGAAAGAATGACGACACAGAAGCGTTTCACGGTGTTTGATGGAGACTCCCACGTGGTCGAACCCCGGGAGTTGTGGGAGCAATACCTTGACCCCGAATACAGGGTCCTCGGCAAATCAGCCCTGTGGCGGGAGCACGGGAGGACCAACGCTTACCTTAAGGTGAACGGCAAGGTGTTCCGGGACTCGTCCAACCCCAATATCCCGCGGCATGCAATCTGGAAGCCCGGTATGACTTGGGAAGACGTCGGGGGCTTGGATCCAAACGTGAGGCATCCGGAAACGGCGGGGGCATCGGACCCGCAGGCCAGGCTCGCCGACATGGACGCCATGGGGATAGACCAGGCATTCCTCTATCCCACCTGGTTCGCCGAGGGTTTTCACTTGGTGGAGGACCCGGATGTGGCCTACGCCCTGGCGCGGGCCTACAACGACTGGATCGCCGACTTCTGCAAGGCAGCCCCCGACCGGCTATTCGCTGCGGCCATGGTGCCCCTGCAGGACATGGACATGGCTATTGATGAGTTGCACAGGGTCAAGGGAATGTCCTGTTTCCGAGGTGCTTTCATCCGACCAATGTTCCGCGAGGGCCACTACTTCACCCACCCGTACTATGATCCTCTTTGGGCGACGCTCGAGGAACTCAATCTGACAGCCGCCGTGCATCCCACTCCGGGACTCTGGAATCCCGAATGGACGTCCCACGGGCAGTTCATCGAGAAGGTAAAGGATCGCCTCAACCTCATACCCTTTGATAACGGCGGTGGCGGCGGTCCCTTTGCCGGCGGAGGTACCGGGGAGAGCCGTCCCTTCCTGTCAGCTGGAAATCCCCTCGGACATCCCCTGGCTCCGGTGATCTCCAATTGGCTCGACAACCATATGTTCGTTGCCTCGGCCCTGATCGGGTTCACGGTGATGCAGCGTTACCCGCAGATGAAGGTCGTGGTGGCCCACGGCAAGGCTTCCTGGATGGAGGAAGTGCTGGAGAAAATGGAGGCGTCAACCAGGGTCATACCGTTGCTGCACTATTACCCCGTGCGCACCGACCCCGAGGAGATGTGGGAGGAAGGCCAGGTAATGCTGGGCTTCGACGCCGAGGAGCGCCTCATACAGAAGCTGCCTCACCTGTTCACCGAAAAGATTGTCTGGGGCTCCCGGTACCCCCACCAAGATGCCACCAGCGCCTGGGACGCCATCGATATGCTCCGCAAGGCAGACATCAACGATGACACCATTGCTCGCATGCTGGGCCGCAACGCCGCCGAACAGTTCGGCATCAACCTGGTGGAAGTGGTGAGTGCATAGGACGACCGCAACAGATTTCAAGGCTCGAATTTAGGCGAAGTTGACGGTGAAAACCTGTTGCCCTGGGCTCGAAACTGGTATGGAGCCTACGTCTGCGCCAAAAGTTTAGAATTCATCGGTGTATAGGGCAGGTGCCTCAATAGATGCATTCCAGTTCAGGCCGCGGCAATGCAAATCGAGGAGCAGAATAAGAACTTTGGCTGGTAACGAAGGTCGGTATGGGAGGTTGAGTTGAACTCTTTCAAAGCTAAGTCTGGTCGATATGGACCGCAGTAGTAAAGCGAGCGGTTCGATGGGAACGTGTTGGGACCACACTGTGGAGTGCACTAAGGTAACCATGGCGCTCGGTCTCGCTGGGGCGCCTCATGTGTTCTCCCTCGCCGAGTAGAAACTCCAGCGAACGACGACGCGGCTACCGACGATACAGGTCTCGGTTCAAATACAGTGATGTCTTGTGTTGATGGTCTACGTTGCGGTATGCCCGACTCTACGCTTTGCGCAAATGTGCCATTGTTCAGGCCAAAAGGAATCATTTCGGCTTTTTCAGACTGATATGGTAGGAAATACCCCTTGTAGCGTAACGTGGGGTGAATACTCCTCGTTCTCGGGCGATGATTCCAAATTGCGGGCGGTTCCGAATTGCGCGGAGCCGCCCGGTCTTTAGCCGAGACATTGAGGATCTGCGGCGTTCAGTTTCAGCGAACCAGCCCAATTAAGCTTGTAAGCTACTCACGGGTTGTCGTTGTGCGACATACCGGAGCCGGGTGTTGTCCCTAGGCAGGGCAGGCTTGCTCACTTGGGTCGCAGCTGCGGCACTTCGGGGTTCCGGACTCGCGGGTCCGGGACGATTGGCCGCGGGAAAAGACTTTGCCATACGGTAGCCGACACCGTGCTCGGTGAAGATGTACGAAGGATTCCGCGCATTGTCACCAAGTTTCTGGCGCAGAGACTTAATATAGGAGCGCAAAAGCTGGGGCTCGCCCGAATACTCCGGCCCCCAAACTCTCTGAAGTAACACGTCTTGAATGAGAACCTTGCCTGCGGAATTGGAGAGTTCGGTGAGCAGCTTATACTCAGTAGCCGTTAGTTGAACCGGTTGGCGTGACACGTAGACGATTCGCTCATCGTAATTGATCAGCACTTCACCCAATTGGAACGTCTTGTTGTCGGCGATTTCCCCGCTGCCGGTCAACCTTCGAAGGGTCGCTTTAATCCTCGCGATCAGTTCGGAAGGTGAGAAGGGTTTCACCATATAGCCGTCCGCCCCCATCTCGAAAGCGCGCACGACATATTCCTCATCGTCCCTGTCGCAGAACACAATTGCCGGAAGATTCAGCGAATTCCCTGCGCGCCGCATGGTGCGAAAGCATTCTTCTTCTCTGCCGGCGATGTCCAAGAGGAACAGTTTCGCCTTTACCGACGAGGCAAGTTGCTCAACCTCGTCCAAGCTGGATGTTGCTAGAGCGCTGTAGCCCGCGTTAACCAGGACTTTGCGAACCGTGGCCAGCAATTTGGGATCTTTAATTGAGACGAGGATCTGAGTCTGCTCCGCGGGAACCGGCAATTGCTCTGTTGCAATCTCCCCTATGTCGGGGATCAGGATTTCGTCCTGGTCTCCCGCTGACAGCAGATTGAAGGTCAGAGTCAAGTTGCCTTCCTGCTCATCCATATCCGTTTTGATGCGGCCTCCGTGTGCCTCAACAATTCCGCGGCAGAAGGCCAGCGCCAGCCCCTCGCCCTGTGAAGACAATTCAAATGCTTTGGTGTGGGCCTGTGAAAGTTTCTTGAATAGCAGAGGAGTTTCCAATGTATTGAGAGGCGTATAAGCATCGTTGGGATGAGAAAATGAGCCGTCCACTGAGACCGAGACGGCGACGTGTATATCTGTAAAGGAAGCAGATACCTTGACTGGCGACGACTCGTTCGAGTGTTTGGCTGCTTGGCGGAGGAAATTGTGCAATACTTGGCTTATTCGGTGCTTGTCAGCCATCACTTTCGGAAGCCCTTCCGGTATATCCAATCGGATGGCTATCGCGGCGCAGTCTCTCAGATATTCCCCGCAGGACCGTTCTATCAGTCCCGCTACATCCGTTGACTCGGTGACCACCGATAACGTTCCCGTCTCAATTTGGGTCAGTTCAATGAGGCTGTTCAGCTGGCTGCGCATCAGGTCTGCCTGCTGGTCAATGATGCGCAGTAGCTGCATTGACTCGTTTGTGTTCAGAGGCTCAACTATGGTCTTTAGAGCGGCGGCAGAACCCTTGATGGTTGAAACAGGCGTTCGTAATTCTTCACTGACCAACCCCAGGAATTCCCCCCTTTGTCGCTCCAGATCTTCAAGGGGAGTCATGTCTTGCATAACGGACATCACTGACACTATTTCCCCTGATTCAGAGAAGAGAGGAGCGCAATTTACTAAGGTGGTTATTGTATTCCCGTTCGGTAGATGGACGACGACTTCTTCGGCCTTCACAGTCTCTCCGCTCTGAAGCGCCCTTGTGCCAGGAAGGTCTTCGAATGCGATTTCTCTCCCGTCAGATCGGGTTAGTGTTACGGAGTCATAGATGTTGTCAAACTCCTCGTCTGGAATCCCAAATTCACCCAGAAGTCGGCGAGATTCCTGATTCATATAGGTTATTTCCCCAATCCGTGCGTCGAAAACGGAGACTGCCACGGGAGAGATGTCCATTAGGGTTTCCCGTTCCACATTTGCCCGGCGCTCCGCTTCATATCTTCGGGTGTTGGAGATTACCGATGCCGCTTGGGCGGCAAACATCGCTGCGATGTTTTCATCTTCCTGTGTAAATTCCTGTCCTCCCTCCTTTTCCGTGAGATATAGGTTTCCGACATGTTGGCTGCGATGGTAAATCGGCATTCCCAAAAAGGACTTCATGGGCGGGTGGTTTTCTGGAAGCCCCACGGCTTCAGGGTGGGTAGCCATATCCTTTAACCTGACCGGACCCTTGGCCCTGCTTATGTGTCCCAAAAGGCCAAGTCCTTGGGGTGATTGTGTCATTCTTACGCGTTCTTCCTGCGAGAGGCCAAAAGTGTAGAAGTCGCGAATACCGCCCGAAGGTTGGAAGGTCAGGAGCGCACCGTACCGGGCGCCAGTCAGCTTTCAAACGCTATTGATAACTTCTTGGAGAACGGATTCGGCATCCGGGTTTTCGAAGATGCTAATGCTGGCTTCGGTCAGACTGGCAAGCCGTTCCTTCAAGGAGTCATTTTCTTTGCTGAGTACCTCTGCTCCGGTGATTGCGGCATTAGCTTGTAAAAGGCTCATTGTCTACCTCGTTACTTTGTGAGTTTTGTGAAGCGGCCCACCCAACTGCATCACTTTTTCACATTACCCTGCTGAGACTTCTCAGAATATGTCGACCGGGCAATTCCCCAAGGCAAACTAGCTCAGGAGCGCCCTTTAGGTCGGAACTCGCAGGGCTGGGGATCGGTGGGTGACTCATAGTACCAATGGATAACGTGAGAAATATACTGGTAATACGTGTTTCCGGCAGGTTTCTCACAATATTTTCATAACTGTGTTTTCCACTTTCACAAAATCTATACAACCGTCTCCTTTGACGACACTGCCTGGTAGCCTGTAGCTGCAGATTGAGAAAAGGTAGAAGTGAGGGAGTTGAGGGTTGATAAGTTGAAAGATGAGGTGGTGGAGTGGCTCGGTGGCCGAAGGCATTGGCCGGGTGCATGGGTGCATCGCGGGTCTGTTCCGGCGTCTGGAGCCGAGTCGGCGGGCTTTTTAGTACCTGCGGGAACTGTTCAGTCCCATGGAACGCAAGAGCGGCTAAAAACTGACTGTGATGTGCGTATCGAAGGGAGGCTGGCGGTGCCACTACCGATGGGGTGCGGCGCATGTGTCAAGGGCGATCTGCGGCAACTCCTCGAGCGCCGGAATATAACGGCTTACATTCTCATCCATCCCTTACAGGAATCCAACATGGTTTCCACCGGGGGCTTCGACTACCGGGGCCATCATCTTGTGTGTCCGCAGGGCAAAATCCTGAACCGGGGCAGGTTTCACAACCGGAACGGCGTCTATCAATAGGATGCCCGCCAGAAGGACTGTCAGGCATGCCCGGTCAAGGCGGGTTGCCTCCCTCCAGGACAAAAAGCCGGTACATCGGTCTGACCATGTATCACCCACTGCACCTGAGAGCCAGGGAACGGAACCGGACCGCCGTCTATCGCCGGGATCAGAAAGGCCGCCGTATCATCTCCGTAGGAACATTTGCATCTCTGGACAGACTGGGCTGGGTCAGGTCCCGGCTGCGAGGATTGTGGCGAGTCGAAGGCGAGGGATATATGGCCGCTCTGGCCCACAACGTGCTCAAGGCCGTGCGACGGTTGCGCCAAATCACCGGACCCCCGGTTCCATTGGAACCCAGGGCAGCAGCAGACGGAGTCCCGGCAACGCCAAATGCCTGTGGGGAGTCGACCACCTTTGGAGGGCCTCCATGCTCCAGGTCTACTGGATTCCTGATGACGAGCGTCGTGGCCTTATTGTGGCACCCTGTCCCTCCGTCGGAACCCACTTTTCAACAAGCCCCCCTCGGAGCCATTGACGGGTTGGACTGCTATTCCTGGACCGTTGCCCGTGACCGTCACTTCGTACGGACTCCATTGTCCGAGCCACCAATTAGCTGATTGCAGGTCCCGCTCGGCGGTTGCGCGGTATCCCGTGTGGTCATGGATCCACGCACGGAGCCTGTAGGCTTGGGTGTCGTGCCCTGGGCACAGCTCCGGGTCGTGAACGGCGGGGCTGTCAAGGCCGCCGCGCCCTGGCGGTGCTGTGTGCTTATATTACGGTATAGCGGTTGGCAAGGGCCGTCTTGGCCTTTTCCTGGTCATCGGTGGTGATGGCCGCGGTCGCGTAGTCATCCCGGCGCTCGATGATGTGGAAAGTCCTGATGCTGAGGCCGGCGTCCTTGAGTTCGCCGGCAAGGTTGGCTAGGGCTCCGGCCTGGTCCGCCAGCTGGACCAGTACAGCCTCGTCAGCGACTGCTTTGAAACCGGCTTGGTTGAGGATCGCAAGGGCGTGGTCCGTCCGGTCGGTGGTGATGATCACGACTCCGTGCTGTCCCTCATTCTCGGTCGCGATGCTGTTGAGGTTCACTCCGCCCTCGGCCAGAGTGCCGGCAATCCGGGCAACGGTCCCGATGCGGTTTTCCGCCATGATCACGATGCGCTGCATCGTTGTTGCGTGAGCGCGCTCCGTCTCCCGCTCTTGAGGCAGAAGGACAGTTTCCACTGGCTGGAGATCGTGTTCCCGCGGCGGTTCGGAATGCGGGCTGATGCAGTCCTCGACCAATCGGTCGATGGTGTGGAAGTCCACGTGGGGGCATGGTGATGATGTGGGCCACGTCGCCCTCGGGGGCAATCTGCCACCTGTCGAAGACTTCCTGCGAGGGTCGGTCGAAAACAACGGTGGGAGAGTTCCGGTGTCGCCAGGCGTTGATGCCGTGTTCATTGAACCGATTAACGGCGTACTCGGCAGTGTCGAGCATGCCGCCGACGGTTTCTCTCCATTCGTGTGCGCCGTAACGGTTGATGGCGTACCAGAGCATGAGCGGGGTCAGGCCGTTGCGGGAACCGGACAGGGTGGTGTCGTTGACGCCGACGAGTTCTACGGCCCTGCCCAGGGTTTCGACCAGGTGTTTGCGGGTGAGAACGATACCGCAGGGCAGGGGTGCGCCGATGAGTTTGTGGCCGCTGATGGAGATGCTGTCGATGCCGGCGTCGAACCCGAAAGGCTGTGGGTCATCCACGTAGGGCAGGATCATGCCGCTGAGCGCTGCGTCGGCGTGAATGTAGTTTTCTCCGATGTTCAGATCGTCAATGATCTGTAGGATCGCGGGGATGTCGTCCACGGCACCCCGCATGGTGGTGCCGATGGTGGCCAGGATGATGGCGGGCCGCCCCCGATGGACGGTCAGCATGTCCCTGAGGTCGTCATAGTCGATCTCGCCGTCGGCCCGTCTTTTGACGGTGGTGTGAGGCATATTGAGGACGCGGGCAATCTTGAGGATGGAGTAGTGGGCTTCCTCGGAGAAGTACAGCATGCCTTCGGGATGGAGTTCCCGGGCTAGGTAGAGGCCGTACATGTTGCCCTCGGTGCCGCCCGATGTGACGTAGCCCCAGGCGTCGTCGGGATCCAGTCCGGTGAGTTGGGCGAAGTGGAGTATGACCTCTCGTTCGAACTGGTGGGTGTTGCCCCGGTAGTGGGTCTGGTGGAAGGGGTCTCCGATGTTGTTGAGGCAGTGGCTGAGGAATGGGATGAGGGGGGAGTAGTCGAAGTTCTGATTGCCGGGGTAGCCCACCTGCCATTGGTCCCCGTCCTTGATTTCCTTGAGGAGTTCGGCCAGGCGGGTTTCGATGTCGTTCTGTGCGTTCATGTTTGATGCGACCTCGGCGTGCTCGAGCGAACAGTATCCTGGATGGTGTCCGGTGATGGTGTCCGGTGTCGGAGGTGTTGGCAATTATACGCACTGTGCCGCCCTTAGCGGGGGCGGCACAGTGCGTTTCTCCGGACCGGGGTCTTCGTCGGCAATTACGGCTGATGCACCTTGATTCAGCCACATGTTGCGAACTCGGCGCCAAGTCCTCAAAGGCTCAAGGAAAAAGACGACCGCACGGTTGGTCGAGCCGGCCGGCGTTGCCGTTGGTCAGCCACAGTTCAATCATGCCAGCGGCGGATGCTTCCACGCCACAGCCAGATGTTACTATTTTTTATCCGAGGTAAAACCTGTCTCGCAACGTGGGACGCTTTGGTCCTGCATCGAGGCTTGACCAATTGTGATCCACTTCTGATTTGCTCCCCGGAGGTTGCTCAGCGCGGAATGCGAGTTTTTCGGAGACTGGATCACACTGGACATACACCCCTTCGTCCCTTATTCCCGTCCGTTTTGATCTCCAGCCTGACACTTTCCGTAATTGGGACTGGCGGGGACTCTTGCAGTAATATCTAACTCGATCCCGATTACATGCCCGCTGGGGCTGTACCCACTTGGCGCATCCATCGTCAGCTGACCCATCTAAGGGCTGCCCCGGCGCTCTCTCCCCGGGCATATCTGGCAACTGTATCAGCCCTTCACCACTCTCCCTGCTTCATGGTCAAATTAACGGGCGCCCCGTTGTCCGTCATGGTACGAGCAAGTCCCACCCGGCCCGAGTGTCCGCTGTAGCACTCTCCCAAACCGGCGTTTTCGGCTGCATGTTTAATTCTCCGGAAAATCTGTCTCTATTAGAGGGTGTGTGACAAAGTGCAATCAGGTTGGTTTGAGCTTTTTGAGCATCAGGTGGACCATCGCTATATGAACCCAGGTCTCACCGGTTTCTGGCAGTTCCTCGTAGTCCTTACTGAGCCGACGGCACCGGCTGAGCCAGGCCAGCGTGCGTTCAACCACCCATCTGCGAGGCAACACCTCGAACTGGTGGCTGTCCGGTCTCCGGCGCACCACCTTCAGCAACCATCCTCCATTCTCCCAAGCCCACGCCACCAGCCGACCGACATAGGCCGCATCGGCCCAGATGACTTGAAGCCTGGGGAACCGGCCCAGCAGCTTGGCCAGCACCAGCCTGGCCCCGTCCCGGTCCTGGATGTTGGCGGCGTGAATGGCCACGGCCAAGAGCAGCCCGGTGGTGTCCACTACGATGTGGCGCTTGCGCCCGGACACCTTTTTGCCGGCGTCGTAGCCGCGAGGCCCCCTTTTTCCGTGGTCCTCACCGATTGCCTGTCGATGATTGCCCCGCTGGGAGTAGCATCCCGTCCCTCGCTCTCCCGGACCACGGGACGCAGTGCCTCCAAAACCCGCTCCCAAGTGCCGTCCTTGTCTACAAAGGAGGTATGCAGGCCCCACCTTGCCAGCCGTTCCCGCCACAGGAGTGCCGTGCCGTGGTAGAGATCCTGCGGGGCGATCACGTGGTCACCCATTGCCAAGGACTGGAAAACGGCGGCCAGGGCCGCGGCGCCGGAGGAGAACCCGGCGGCTACTTTCCTACCCTCTAGGTCCCTTAAGCATTTCTCGAGGAGGGCTCGTGTTGGGTTGCTGGAACGTCCGTATGCGAACCCTTTGGGATACGTGCAGTCGGCTTCGCGCTCAAATGTTGTCGACATGTGTATCGGCGGAGTGACCGCGCCGGTGGCGGGGTCGACGCTTCGACCGCTGTGTACGGCAGGGGTCTCGATTCTCACGGTTCCTCCAACTCGTAAATACATGGCTGACGAGGCCATTGTAGTCGATGCCTGCTGGTCGATGCCTGCTGGTCGATGCCTGCTGAATGGGTGTTGTTGGTCCCCTCGTTTACTCTCTTGAGCCTTAATTCAGGTGCGGGAGTTGTTCACCATGACGGGTGCGGCGTCCGGCGGCCCCGCGCACTTGCAGAGCCGTCGCAGATACGACTCCACCAGCCGGGCCAGTTCCAGGTCTGACAGGGGTGGTCCACCACCCGGTCATCCTGGATTCGACGTCCCCAGCTACCGCACCGGAGTGGCCCAGCAGAGGGGTCAGAAACAGGAGGTGAACCAGCAAAAGTAGTTGACGCATGTCCACGGCAGAAGTAGCGACGCGGCTCCGCTGCCGGCCAGGTTTCGGCGGTAGACGGCCCCAGCCTCCTGGCCCGGCTGCCCTTCAGGGTTACCCGACCGATGGGCGCTGAACATATAGCTCCGCGGTCCCTGGCTTCCCTGGGCCACCGTTATCTCCCGCCAAGCCTTATCCGGCAACTCGCCACTGCGCTGCTCCATGGTACGACGCTGCCCGTCCCTGAGCCTGGGCTTGCGGGGGCGCCCGGACCCCTGAGACCCCGGACTGGTCCAAGCCAACTCCAGGGGCCAGACCGGAGTGCTGCCCGGAACGTCCAGCACGTAGCGCATCCCCAGGCCCGCCAGGGACTCCCGAAAGGACGGCGACATCCCGAAGGCGTCGTCCCCGGCAACCCATCCGGCCTTGAGGTGGCCCAACCCCAGGGCCCCGCTCCAGCAGCTCCAAGGCCAACTCCGTCTTCGACCGGTAGCTCAGCCGCTCCTCGGGCACACCCGCCGCCGCACACCGGTCCTGGTCGGAGATCCAACTCTCGGGCAGATACAGCCCCTTGTCCACCAATGCCTGTCCCAGCGGGCTGACGTAGGCCAGGAACATCCCCGCCTGGCAGTTGGCCACCTTCCCCAGCCTGCCGCAGTACTGCCGGGCTACCCCCACCGACTTCCGTCCCTGCTTGGGAAAGTCGCTGCCGTCCAACACCCACACCGCCTCGGGGTGAGCCAGCCTGGGGGCCAGGTATTCCTGCAGCCGACCGATGACCGCGGCATCGTCCCACCGGGCCTCGGTCAGAAAGCGCTGCATCGCCCGGGCCGAGATGCCCACCGATTCCGACAGGTTCTCGGCGTTGCGCCGCTCCCCAGCCTGCACCAGCAGCCCCTGAAGATAGTTCCGGCTGTGCTCCCGCCACTGCTTGCGGCCGAAGGAGGCCGCGAAGAAGGCGTGAAAGTCCTGAAAGTTGTCGTAAACCCGCTCGAAACTCGCCCCATCCATCACCCAAACCACCCACTATCATCTTGACAACTATCCTACCAAACAACCCGTCGTTGTAGTACTAGGACCTCGCTGACGATATGATGGTGGTGGTCATCACCCGTAAGTACGGCATCTCCAGAACCAAGACGATTGCAAAGTCAGGAAGCTTGACCGCAGAGGTGGTCGATGGTCTATGTTGGGCTGGAGCTTCGTGTCCCGCCTCGCCGCGTTACCATCAAGAGCCGCATATCCAACTCGGCCCCAATCGAGCTATGCAAGCTGGTGGAGGCGAGGGAGTAGGGATGCGCCAGACTGGGGAACAGCGGGATATTGGGGAATTGCATGAGAATCATTGCGCTGATACTTCTGGCAGTTGTCGTCCCGCTGGGGACTATCTCCTGTGCCGGAGGGCAGGTTGAACCCCCGGCGCCATCTACGGTTTACGAATCAACCCCGGACCTTCCAGCGACGGTAGAGGCCAGAGTCCAGGGGACCCGGGAAGTGGAAGAGGCCATTGATGCCACCGTGCAGGCTCAGGTTGCTGCGATACTGACCGCACCACAGCCGACCGCCACACCCTGGCCCACGGCGACTCCTTGGCCCACTGCTACGCCATATCCGACCGCGACTCCGATGCGGAGTCCGATAACTGCTTCCTTGCTGGCCACCCTTATCGCCCCAAAACCTACACTCACACCGAGGCCTACTCTCACGCCGCAGCCCACACTTACGCCGCAACCTACTGCCACCCCTCGGCCAACGCCAACTCCTGCAGCTTCACCCACTCCGCCTGCTGTGGACCGTACAGCTACAAGGTTTGTAATAGGCGAAGGATCCAAAATAACTTTTACTGTGGAAGAAGAACTTGGCCGAGCCCCCGTCCGTTTTGATACTGTCATTTCGAGCACAGTGTTGAGAGGGGTAGCCAATCTGGACGGGCAACCGTCAACGGTAATGTTGGACCTGCATTCCCTTAATAGCGACCAACAATTCCGGGATCAGTGCATCCGGGCTCAACTGTTTCCTGATGCCACAGAGGCAACGGTGGTCGTAGAGCGACTTCCCGAACTGCCGAAGAGCTTCCTTCAGGGTGAGGAAACTAGCGGGGCACTGAGCGGGTCTCTCCAAATAAGCGAAAGAATTACACCATTAACATTCGATGTTGTCGCCCGTCACGACGGCAACGTTATAAATGTTCTGGGGCGCACAAGATTCACTTGGGACCAGTTAGGGTTGGTAAAGCCATCGACCCGGTCAGTAGTGTATCTGGCTGATGAAGTCAGAGTTCAAGTACTCTTGGTCGGTTATGCTCAATAGCTTATCGGTTACGCAGGGACCAGAAATCTGTGAATCCGTGTGTCAGGCATGTGGCGACATACAAATTCGGGTTGATTAGTATGTAAGAAGCATCGTCAGCACGTGCTAATAAGCCCACTCCTGGTACGAACGTCAGTTCACCACCGCCCCTGGCCCAACGGCGTCTGCGTCTCATAGCCGTCGGCGGTGCTCAGCAACCGTGCTCCAGGCGACATGGACAGCTTGTCGTCCCACGCCAGCAAGATCAGCTTCCGAAGAAGACAATGTGGGGGCTTCCATGAGAATCATTGCGCTGATACCTCTGGCAGTCAGCGTCCTGTTGGGGACTATCGGCTGCACTGGAGGGCAGGTTGCAGTTCCTGCTGTTCCCTATAACCTTTCCGATCATGGT